AGTTATATTCTGGATCACACGCCTATCATAGTCCTATCTATAGTTATATTCTGGATCACACGCCTATCGTAGTCCTATCTATAGTTATATTCTGGATCACACGCCTATCCTGGTCCTATCTATCTATTCTGGATCACACGCCTATCGTAGTCCTATCTATAGTTATATTCTGGATCACACGCCTATCGCAATATAACTCTCGATAGGACTCTAAATCACACTTTATACAAACGGACGAGATCATGTGATTAACCTGCTTTATCGAAGATAAATACCTGTGAATCAATAACTCTAATGATCTTAATAGCACCTGTCTGTATTCTTACAGATCATAATCTGGACTAGTTAAGAGGAAGAGCTGTAACTACGTTAGGGTTTAATAAATAATATATGTATATGTTATTAGATTCTCATAGAAAAGACCAAGAGAAACAGATAAAATACATACGTACCTGCATGCAGGAAGACAGTTACACTGAATTTCACCGCTGCTGATTTTATGAATGGTGGTGTTAATACAGGTCCCTGTAGAAATATATACATCTACATCATCTTGAGTGAATTATATAAATGAAGTCTATGAATTAAGTTATAAAAATGTTATCAAAATAAAAACATGAGACCGACTGCCAAATAGTTATTTAAATAATAAGAATAAAAATTTATTTAGAAAACTGAAAAGTTGAAATATTGAATGATATAGATATTCAAATAAATTATAGAACAACTGACAGACTGATATATTGAATAAAATGATTAGTTAATTAATAACAACAAAATAATAATAACTTAGAAAAATTGACAAACTGATACATTCAATAAAATTCTTAATTAAATAATAACAATATAAAATTATAATTTAGAACAACTTACATGATGATTTATTAAGTCAAATGGTTTCTCAAATACAAACGAAATAAGCAATTTAGAATAATTGACATACTGACATATTAAAATAAATAGTTATTCAAAATAATAAAACAATAAACAATTTAGAATAATTGACACACTGATATATTAAAATAAATAGTTATTCAAAATAATAAAACAATAAACAACTTAGAATAATTGACATACTGACATATTAAAATAAATAGTTATTCAAAATAATAAAACAATAAACAACTTAGAATAATCGACATACTGACATATTAAAATAAATAGTTATACAAATGAAAGAAAAGCTTGTAATGGTCTATTCTTTCATTGGGGGTGTGTCTGAGAGCCAGACTTGTTTCGGAGAATTCCACTCCTCATCAGTGACCTTGGACACTACCACCATTTCGATATAATTATTGAAATAGATAAGTTGGAACAACTGACATCATGATATATCAAATCATATAGTTTTTCCAAATGCTCCCTAATGGCACAGCATAAAAACCAGGTTTCAATACCTGTGGTGGGCATAGTACAAACAAATAAGTTATTCAAGAAAATAAAAGCGGTAACATAATAAACTATTCAAAAGAAGTGGCACGTTAGTCAACTAAAATAAACGATTCTTGAAATAAATAAAAACGAGATGTGTTTTGAAAGTGACATTCTGATATATTAAAATCAATAATTAACAAAATAAATAAAAGCAATATCCAATTTAGAGCAACTGAAAACCGATATAGTGAATCAAATGGTTCTTCAGTTAATAAACAAATAAGTCATTTTTAAACTTGCACATCTCTTTTTCCAACACATCACAATTTCTATCGATCACCACAGATGTTTTATCTGTATTATAAACCGGATGAAAACATCCACATTCATCTTCTATGTGATATCCTATACACGATCTCTCGCACACCTGTAAAAAATTAAAAAAAACATTATTTTAACGTACTTTGATCTAACAATACAAGTATTTTGTTGCCTAAGACTCATAACGTAGGTAAATTAATGTGTAGAATTATTAACGGGCTTTTCTGTACGTTCAAATACTTTTATTGCCAGCTTTCGGTCCTCTTACCAGAGCCTTCATCGGGCAATAATGTACTGAGGGAAAAAATTCGTTAAACTTTGAAACACTGCTTTAAAATGTGTATCTGGGCAATAGTCATAACAATAACTGACATCTGGTATCAAAGTTATTAAACATATAGAAGCAATCGATTTATATTCTATATTCACCATAATTCTATATGTTTAATAATTTTGATACCAGATGTCAGTTATTGTTACAACTGTTGCCTAGATACACATTTCAAAGCAGTGTTCCATAGTATAACGAATTTCTTCGCTAAGTGCATTGTTGCCCGATAAAAGCTCTGAATCTTACTAAGAACCTAACAATACAAGTACTTTTAATATACTCTGAATGTCACTAAGAACCTAACAATACAAGTACTTTTAATATACTCTGAATGTCACTAAGAACCTAACAATACAAGTACTTTTAATGTACTCTGAATTACTTGTATTGTTAGGTTCTTAGTGACTTTTAATGTACTCTGAATGTCACTAAGAACCTAACAATACAAGTATTTTAATGTACTCTGAATGTCACTAAGAACCTAACAAT